ATATATATATATATATATATATATATATATATATATATATATATATATATATATATATATATATATATATATATATATATATATGTTTCCTTAAGGAATGAGCTCTCTTTGTGCATTCTTTCAAATATAAGGAGAAAAAATTAAGGAAAAAGTCTGGTGGCACACATTACTCCATTTCCTATAGTTCTCTGTATCCTCACTTTCAAATCTTTTAGCCCTGAGTAGGGTTAAAGCACTGTGAAGCTACTTCTATTTGTAATCAATTAGACATGAATACTGTAAAAGGTTTTCAGATTTTCTAGTTCTCACAAAGAGATCCTACTTTAGTATTTTACGCTTCTGAAGAATGCACAAAAACGGCTTTGAGTTAATTGCTGGCTATTGAGCCAACCTTCACCTCTGGCTCTATGAAGGACATTAAGATTCATAGGAAGCTACCCCAAGATTGTGGTTAAAAAAAGAAGAGAGAGAAACAGTCAAGTTGAAAGATCAGAAAAATGATCAAGTCTTACCAGAGCACACAGCAGTAACCGGGATAATCCGGTGACCAATAAACTTCCCACCTTCTTCCAAAGCTACAATTCTGAGAGAAGCCAACTCTGGCATCAAAATCTGGCAGGGAAAAATTGTTTGATGGTCTGTAACATTTTTCCCCTTAAAAAACAAATCCCAAGGTGGGGGAAACTAGTTCCATAGCTATACTTTGGAGGTCCCCTTATCTTCTGTGCTTTCATATCTAAAAGGGCTTCTATGTTCTTGTGGATAATATCACTTACTAAGGCCATATCTTGTTCTAAGCAAGTCACTGAGCTGTTTCCCTTTCTCCTCATCACACCCCCAATTATTCCTCTTCTCACTACCTGATTCAACTTAGCTCAAGAGTAATATCACTTTAAAAAAAAAATATTCTGCCAGCCTCAAGGTCAGCCACCCATATGCAGGGAGGATTCCCTATATGGGTTGGTCCTCTTAACATAAACTTTTCTGATAGCCAAGAGATATCTGGTTGGAAGTATGATATTCTTAGAAATATATAAATAAAATAACTGTACTGAAATCTTCTTTATATCTTTTGGTTTTCTCTCTCTTTCTCTTTCTTTTTCTATCTATCTACCTATCTATCATTGTGGACAATATGAACCACTGCTGATCTGCTTTCTTCATTCCTAATTTTGAGAAGATAGTTCTATACTGGCTCTGAGGGACAAATGACATGGATTTTTTAATTTGTTAACTAACACAGTTATTTTGTATTTCGTATTTTAATTTGATGTATTTTCTCTCTTTTAAAATAATGTTGGTTCATTGCAGATTGGAATATAGGATAGCTGTATGGATTGGTTAGATAGCTTTTAACCTTCCTAAACTGAAAAGATAAATCTTCAGATTGATTATTTTCTCTGTTCAGGTACAACACAGACAGGAATTTAGGAATAGCTTTTAACATTCCTAAATTGAAGAGGCTGAAGATTATCTGAAGATAAGAAAAAGTTTGTTAGTACAAATTGGGGTCTGGTTTATCTCTTTAGTGAACTCTAAACAACCTTTTTCCTTACA